TTCAACCAGAGCCCATGGATGGAGCCTTACATCAGAATGAACACGGACCTCCGAAAGCTGGCCACCAGTGACTTTGAGAAAAACTTATATAAGCTCATGAACAACTCGGTATTCGGTAAGACGATGGAGAACCTGAGGAAACGCGTAGACGTGAAGCTGGTTCGGTCGAATGAGGAGGAAAAACTCAGGAAGCTGATCGCTAACCCTGCATTCAACCGTAGCAAGATATTCGATAACGACCTGGCTGCCATACACATGAAGAAAAGTCACATAATATTAAACCGACCTGTTTACGTGGGGATGAGCATCCTTGATTTATCCAAACACCTGATGTACGATTTTTACTACAACGAGCTGAAGAAACAGTACGGCGACAGGTGTGAAGTGCTATACACTGACACGGATTCCTTGCTGATGGAGATTCGAACCGAGGACGTGTACGAGGACATGAAAAAACACCTCGATTTGTACGACACCAGCGACTATCCCAAGGACCATGCCATACACAGCACGGTGAATAAAAAGGTCCTAGGTAAGATGAAGGACGAGTGTGCTGGCACGCCCATAGTCGAGTACATAGGGTTGAGGCCTAAGATGTACTCCATACTGAAGGCCGACAATGGTGAAATCCGGAAAGCTAAGGGTGTAAAAAAATACGTGGTGAAACAACACATCAAACACGCCAGATTCAAGGAAGCTCTGTTCAAGACCCGTACCTTTAAACATAAAATGAACACACTTAGAAGTGATGGGCATAGGATATACGGGTTGACTATAAATAAAACATCATTATCCCCTATGGATACCAAACGTTGGATAGCCATTGATGGGATAAACACGTACGCGTACGGGCATGAGAAAATTGAACCAAGAACATAGGTATAAATAAATAGTGACATGTCACGGAACCAGAAAAAATTTGAGGCTATTTACTACAGTCCGCGTGGATATTGGAAAGGAGCTAGCGCTGTAGATAAGCTAGCTAAAATAACTCGAGTATCCCCGGAGGAGGTCAAAACATGGCTTGAAAAACAAGCACTTTGGCAGATATATTTACCACCACCACGCTATGTGCCTAGAAGGAAGTTTGGTATTAATGTACCTAATAACGTTCACCAAGCAGACCTGCTGTTCCTACCCCACGACAAGAGGTACAAGTATGCTCTGACTATCGTGGATGTAGCCAGCCGGTATAAGGAAGCTGAACCATTGACCACGAAAGATTCTGCCCAGGTAGCTCAAGCTATTGAGCGTATATACAAACGCAGTCCGTTGACATGGCCATCAGAGCTCCAAGTTGACCCCGGGCGAGAGTTCATGGGTGTCGTGTCACAACTGCTAGCTAAACACGATACAAAGGTCAGGCGTGGCACGGTTGGAGCTCATCGCAGCCAAGCCATAGTAGAGAGATTTAATAGGACTTTGGCCGAGCGTTTATTCGGGTATCAATATGCGAGAGAAATGACCAACCCAGAAAAACGATCGACTGAATGGGTCAAAAGGTTACCTAAGGTGGTGTCAGCAATAAACCATGAAGTTACTCGGCTCACTGGTAAGAAACCGGCAGACGCTATAAAATTAAAATCAATAATATCAGAGTCAGCCGCACCTTTACGTGGGAAGGAGAAACAGATACCAGACAGGGTCCTAGTTAGATATCTCTATCAACCTGGGGAACATGAAGGAGACGCTCGGAAACGGGCTACTGACCCAATATGGTCAGTCAAAACTTACAACATAGATAAAGTTGACATCAAAGCCGACGAACCTACCTTATACTACTTGATGGATGGGCCAGGTAGGGGGTTTGTGAGAGAAGAATTATTGATCGTACCGTACGGTACAGTATTACCTCCCGTCAACACGACATAGAGGTAAGATATCGGGTGGGGTTCGTATCCCACCGTTTCGTGTGATAGAGACACAATTCCTCTTGGGGAATACATTTCTTTGGGAATTGGGACATTTTGCTTGAAAAAGTCTTATTTTATGAAATAAATCTCTGTAGTATATGGTAATGGTAAGGGTCCAACTAAGGCTTTATCTATTAAATGAAGCTTTAGATTACCCTGGTCCAGAAGCCTCACTCTGTCTACTACTCGGATTGCAGAATGTTTAGATACTAAATACGTTTACACTGCCGATAGTGATAGGAAAGGACATCCCATAACCGATAGTCAGATTGCAGAATGTTTAGATACTAAATACGTTTACACTGAGGATAGTGATAGGAAAGGACATCCCATAGCCGATAGTCGGATTGCAGAATGTTTAGATACTAAATACGTTTACACTGCCGTTAGTGATAGGAAAGGACATCCCATAGCCGATAGTCGGATTGCAGAATGTTTGGATAATAAATGCGTCTACTCTGTGCCGACAGTGATTGGAAAGGGCATCCCATAGCCGATAGTCGGATTGCAGAATGTTTGGATAATAAATGAGTGTACTGAGTGTGCTGACAGTGATTGGAAAGGGCATCCCATAGCCGATAGTCGGATTGCAGAATGTTTGGATAATAAATGAGTGTACTGAGTGTGCCGACAGTGATTGGAAAGGGCATCCCATAGCCGATAGTCGGATTGCAGAATGTTTGGATAATAAATGCGTCTACTCTGTGCCGACAGTGATTGGAAAGGGCATCCCATAGCCGATAGTCGGATTGCAGAATGTTTGGATAATAAATGAGTGTACTCTGTGCCGACAGTGATTGGAAAGGGCATCCCATAGCCGATAGTCGGATTGCAGAATGTTTGGATAATAAATGAGTGTACTCTGTGCCGACAGTGATAGGAAAGGGCATCCCATAGCCGATAGTCGGATTGCAGAATGTTTGGATAATAAATGAGTGTACTCTGTGCCGACAGTGATAGGAAAGGGCATCCCATAGCCGATAGTCGGATTGCAGAATGTTTGGATAATAAATGAGTGTACTCTGTGCCGACAGTGATTGGAAAGGGCATCCCATAGCCGATAGTTGGATTGCAGAATGTTTGGATAATAAATGCTGAGACAGTGATAGGAAAGGGCATCCCATAGCCGATATAGGAAAGGGCATCCCATAGCATAGGATTGCAGAATGTTTGGATAATAAATGAGTGTACTGAGTGTGCCGACAGTGATTGGAAAGGGCATCCCATAGCCGATAGTCGGATTGCAGAATGTTTGGATAATAAATGAGTGTACTGTGCCGACAGTGATTGGAAAAGGGCATCCCATAGCCGATAGTCGGATTGCAGAATGTTTGGATAATAAATGAGTGTACTGAGTGTGCCGACAGTGATTGGAAAGGGCATCCCATAGCCGATAGTCGGATTGCAGAATGTTTGGATAATAAATGCGTCTACTCTGTGCCGACAGTGATTGGAAAGGGCATCCCATAGCCGATAGTCGGATTGCAGAATGTTTGGATAATAAATGAGTGTACTCTGTGCCGACAGTGATTGGAAAGGGCATCCCATAGCCGATAGTCGGATTGCAGAATGTTTGGATAATAAATGAGTGTACTCTGTGCCGACAGTGATAGGAAAGGGCATCCCATAGCCGATAATCGGATTGCAGAATGTTTGGATAATAAATGAGTGTACTCTGTGCCGACAGTGATAGGAAAGGGCATCCCATAGCCGATAGTCGGATTGCAGAATGTTTGGATAATAAATGAGTGTACTCTGTGCCGACAGTGATAGGAAAGGGCATCCCATAGCCGATAGTCGGATTGCAGAATGTTTGGATAATAAATGAGTGTACTCTGTGCCGACAGTGATTGGAAAGGGCATCCCATAGCCGATAGTCGGATTGCAGAATGTTTGGATAATAAATGCGTCTACTCTGTGCCGACAGTGATTGGAAAGGGCATCCCATAGCCGATAGTCGGATTGCAGAATGTTTGGATAATAAATGCGTCTACTCTGTGCCGACAGTGATTGGAAAGGGCATCCCCCCAAAAATACAGGAAATTAAACAACAACTTGATTTCTATACTACAGAATATACATTATAATACAAACCCATACTACAGATCTCTCCCTCCAGCATTACTGCCAAACATCTTGACCAACACAAACCTAATGAACACTATATACGTAACAAATTCACAGTGCAAGAACATTTATACTGACGGATCCAAGGACCAAACATGCCGAGTTGATGTTGCCATAACCAGATTAAGATTAGCAAATTGCAATCATAGTCACTATCTACACAAAATCAACCTCATCCAAACTGCAAATGTATCACTTGCCAAATTCCTGAAACAATAGCCCACATTATCTTTTACTGCTCAAAATATAATAAACAAAGAACCCCACTCATGGCAAGCTGCGACAACTGACTGACTACTTTGAGAGTCAGTGGATGTCAACGTCATACTTTGTTTTATGTATGTTGATATAATCTTGCTAATGTTACAATTAAATGAAATAAAACATAAAACTCAACATCATACTTTGTTTTATACATGGCGCCATTTGTCTCTGAAATCAGTAGCCGTTTTCGCCAGTATGATGCCGTTTTCACCAAACAAAATTGGTGCCGTTCTGCTGTGGTGCCGTTTTAGCTATAACCCCTTTCAATGTATAGCTCAGGGTGTGGAGTCATCCCATAGATGACATCCTTACATTGTCAGCATAAGGTTTTAAACCTCTTTGGTCATGTGGATTTATGTTTGAATCCCGGGGACTAGATATACTTCAAAGAAATCACAAGGGTTAACAAGAAAAGACCATTCCCAGTGTGAAGAGTTACTAATCATAAATGTTAGGGCTGGCTAAAAAAAATTTGACAATCTGAAACATCACTGATGTAAAATATTATTAATGATTATCAAAGAATAGTTAGTTATCAATAATATCTTACATAAACTATTGTGTGGAATACCCTAGAATCAGTAATTGTTAGACAAATAACTTGTATTTAGAATAACTCTATTAAGTTTTATGTTACATTACATTTTCCAGAGCAAGACCATCTTTGACACGTTCAATAACAATGGCCTTTTTCAGTATCGTGTATGATCCGAAGTCTTCAAGCAATGAACAAGACAGTATACAGATGTTCAGGGACTTTGCCCATGAAGCTGAATTAGTAAGTTTTTCAAGATTTATAAGGGCAGCAAGGCAAAATTTACAACCTGACCCTGGCTACCCACCGAAGGTCTCAAGAGTTATACTTCCATTGAAACTGTTCATCATAATGTGTGTCCTTTAACTTCTGTGGGTTTTTGACTTTTAGAAGACTTGGGTTTTCATAGACTGAAAAACAAAAGAAATATTTGCTTCAATGATATTATTGCTGATTGTTGGTGATCACAGAATTTTTTGCCATTAGTGGACAATAACACGATGCATTATGTGGAATTATCATCACAGTAACACTTCGCCTCAGTCAAGTATATGAACATTCAAAAGGTGTTCCATTTTACTGTTATTCTGCAGGATGCGTATCTTAGAGATGCAACAATACAGCTGATAGACGCAACCATCACTCATGTTGCCGTTGGCAACAGGGACTTGAAGTTTTTCCTGGATTTTGATATGGCAGTGCTAGGTCGACCAGCTGATGGTGTGTATCTTCACTTGTGTCACCATACATTGATAACTGATGTCTCCACTCAGTAATTTGAATCCATTGTCTCTAAAAAGCTTTCTCCTCATATTTGTGTAGGGTTGAAGTTATATACTTTATATAATCCTGGCACTAATGTTGGTTTAGAGCAAAATTTGTCATCAACAGGAAAGTGCTGGTCAGTAGATTAATACTAGTCCGAATCAGGTTGGATATACTGAAGAAAAAAGTTAGGGATCATGGTATATTTGCATGAACCACATGCAGTGAAAACAAATATAAAACAGTATTCTATACAAAAAAATATGAACTAATATTTAACAGAAGTATTTCACGTTATTTTGTTCCTTACTGAATTCTGCTAGAAATGAAGTTCAGCTGAGTCAAATCTGATGACAAGACATCACTGAAATGAAGATGTTATTTTTTCAGTGCCATTTGATTGTGCCAGTGTTACTAGAAATTACCAATAGCTGTTTGTGTTTACAATTGATAAACATGTATTTATATATACTCTGTATCATCAGAAATCATAAAATTGTTAATTTTCCTCTATACTTGCCTGAATAGAAACGCAGGCAAGCTGTGAAAAGTAAAAATATTTTGTTATTTATGGGTTACCTTAGACACGTTAAAGGCTGTCTGTCTTGACAGTTTCCGTAATAATGTTGTGTTAACTAGAACTGGATTGTCCAGGTTACAGCGACTACGCCAGGCAGATACAGAGAGAGTACTGTCATCTGGACACTGCAACATTCAACTCCAAGAGAGCTCAGGTAATCTACATTCTGTTACATTAAGTGAAATGATAATATCCGTAGAAATAATTATATTGTGTGTGTGAAATAATCATATTGGTTCTCACTCGCAAATCAACATAAATATTGTATAATGGATACATGTCAGGTGTTAATTTAATTCATGTTAGTTTTGAAAAAGATGTCACAACTAGCAAGGGTTTGATATAGAAATACTAATACGCTATTCAACAGATTTAACAATTTGTGGTGTTGTGACAAGTGAAGAATGTTCTCATTCCCTGTTAACAGTGTCCATAACACTGCATTATTCAGCCTTAGACATTGATGCTGGTCCACAAGCCCAAGTCTACTAAATCATGCTGAGGACAAGTTAAAATTGATTATTGGTAGTCGTCATTGAATCGTAGGAATTGAGGGATATAATTCTAAGAGAGTTCTCAAAGCCTAAATTTTGCTGTACATTGGATCGGAATGAAACTAAAATATTATTATAATAATACACTTTTTGTCTTGTTTAAGCAGGACTTGCTACAAACTCAAGGACTAGTGAAATAAAGTTGACACTACTTCTGTACTCAAGTTAAAAATGTTAATTTCCTAGGCTTATAAATATAAGTGTCTTACATATCATGTGTGGTGTTTGTCAGTTTGAAGCTATGGTCAGTTTCACCCTCATGCTGCAGGTTCTACAGAACTTCCTTGCCAGGGATCACATCTTCTCTACAGAAGAGTTTACACAGTTGTATGAAGAAAAAGCACGGAGCAACATGGCAAGAGAGATCAGTGTTCTTCAGTCACAATCTGCTTGATGCTGTACAATGGAACATTCTCAATCACAGTATTGTACTAACTGTGAGTCGTGACTCATCATCTGATTCAATTTGGTTTTATCTAAGAGAGAGGGGTTATAATATTCCAGGCACCTATAGTCTGTTTGCAGTGAAAATGTACCGATAAATTTCACTTTAAACAAAACAGTAAATCAAATTAAGTGAAATTAAAATCGCGAATCCTCATAATTTTACCTTGCCAAATGAATATTAAATCTCAGAATTTTATTCAACTTAGGATAAAGGTTGTTTAACAAACGATCATAGATTCAAATTGCTATTATTGGTTTGTATTACAAGGGGGTAAGCGCAGTAGATGGAACAGTGGAACAAATGCACATGCGGTACATGATGGGCGTTAACTTAGACCAACCCTACTTGTTCTCGGTGTTTCATCTAATGTGCATACCCCATTGTTATACAAACCAATAATAGCGATTGGAAACTATGACCGTTTGTTAAACAACTTTTATCCTAAGTTGAATAAAATTCTGAGATTTGAATGTTCAATTGGCAAGGTAAAATTATGAGGATTAGCAATCTTAATTTCGCTTTAATCGATTTACTTTTTGTTTAGAGTGAAAGTCATCGGTACGTTTTCACTGCAAACAGACTATAGTGTATGAAACACATTGAGAATTCCTCCAAGAAAGTTATCAGGCCTTGATTCTGGTCATCAACTACTCTTATGTTTTTTGCTTTGTAATGTAGTGAGATGAGTACCATGACGAAACTGTCAAACATGGCGGCAAGTGGTAGAAAACATCAATTGTTTTAGACTGAGTAGAGACTAACACTGCATTGAATGGTGACTGGTCACTTGTGATGGCTGGCCTTCATCTCTTGAACAATCATCCATCTCACCTCGGAACACAACCAGATTTATCTGTTTTTAAATCAAATCTAAGGACTTGTCTCTTTCTTGAAGCATTTGAACTTTATGTGATATCTTAGAGCCAAAGCGCCCTGTATGTATGTATTTATTGTTTGTGGTTTAACATCAAACTAAACATTATTTCGCCTATCCTGGTGTGCAAATGGTTTGGGCAAACAATCCTGTGATTGATGTTTAGAGCGTACCTCCAGGTAAATGGGATACATTGATATGCAATCAGGTAAGTCACTGAGCCCAGTGGGTGGTCTCCTCAGACAGCATAGGTTGACAGGACTACTTGGAATCCACCAAATGCAGTTCATTAACTGGTAATAGTCAGTTTCTTATCATTTAGCTTCATCAGACATGTTGTGATATCTGTGGAAATTGTCTGTACATGGACAATATTCACCATTGTGATAATTGCACTAATGATTGTACCTATATTAATATCTATTTTGTCAATGTTTATACATGTATTAAAATATATACTAAAATGTTTAAATGATGTTGCACATCTGTGTGTCTTCAAATGAATTTTGGTTGGTTATTTTAAGTTGGTTATTATCCAGCATATTCTCCATCTCTTTAATGGTCACGTCTTACACAATTTCACTGGCACCAGAGAAACTTTTAACCATGTTGATGTGATGGCTTTTTTGTGTTGTGTCACAAAGTCAACAAATGGACTTAACATGGAACAATTGTTGTGAATGTCTTTAAGTCAATGAATTGTTTAACATGGAACAGTTGTAGTGAATGTCACAAAGCTAACGAATTGACTTAACATGGAACAATTGTAGTGAATGTTTCAAGGGTATATACCATGATAGAATCATTGATAATGATACATAGAAGGATAGCTGCCCTTCTAAAAGGTGGATCAAGTAATTTATACTTATAAGATTTTATATTTTTTAAACTTTTAAGAAAGATTTTATGTACATGAGCATTAATCAAGCATCACCTACTTGTTTGTTTTGATAACTACAAAAACACCAAATGTTGAATATGCTTTGCTAACCAGATTCAGCATGTTAAAATTGTAACCATAACATATTTCACTCTGATTAAACAAAACTGATATTAAAACTTCATAGCAATTTACTTGCAAGCTGAGAGGAATATACAATAATGTGAATATCAACAATGCTAGAAAATATGGTCACCATGACTATGACACCAATCTGATTTACACAGTTCTCAAAAATAGATTGTTGTCATTGTGTGAACCACCACTGGCAATCAGTTGCTGAATTCTCAGCATTGGAATCCTCTGCCATTTCTCTTGGAGTGCCTGTGTCGGTGTCTGCAGATTTGAACAAGAACTATCTCTTGATAGTCACAAAGATGTTTGATGTGGGTCATATCTTGGTAATGTTATGATGGTGGTGTTCTGCAATTGGGAAACGATGGTTCGAGAATGGTGAGGTTTTTATCCATGAATACTGGACAACTGGCAAGGGGCTGGTTATCAGAATATGGCACAATAGCAGTATCCAGTACTTCATGCCAGCAATGTTGACCACTGAGTGTCGCTGGTACTGTAATGAAATCCAGCCACACCAACACCGAACAAACACCACCAAAGCATTCAGCTGCATGTATCATCTGGTTGTAAGCCTCATTACGACATCTCCCTACATGTCTACAGCCGGCAGCTTTGTGTAGAAGACAGCGACTTTCATCAGACCAATGAACCCTGCACCATGTCATGAAGGTTTTTGTCAGCCTGCACCTATCTGTGAGGGTGGGACATCTGATCGGACTCAGTCTAGCAGCATGCAGCCTCCTGGGGTGAGTTGGACTCTGTGCAGTGCCAGCGCAGTTCTTCAGCATGGGTCATGGGATTGCATGCATCATGCCAGACGACTTACAACTTGGTCATCACAGTCATTGGTTTTCCTTGGTCTTCCAGGGCTTGGACGATCCTTTGTTTCACTGGTGTGGATGTTGTGACAAGACATCCCTGCTTCATGTAGCCAATAACTTGTCATCGTGTATTTTCTGATAGTCTAAATCTTGCCATGTCAGTTTAAGGTAATTTTTAGCACAGTCGTATTTAAATCAGTTCACAAAACTGTAGTGCACCTACTGCCATTAATACCCCAATGTGCTTTGCACCATCTGAACATGCGACTCATAGGTTTTGAGATATTGTGTAAATCATGTGGTATGCATGAGCATTCAAGTATGCTTGGGTATGATTGAATGTTTGGAACAAAAATTTAAAAAAATGCCCTTGGATTCAGGTGGTGCTTAATTATGGCCATGTGTGTATTTGAGCAGATGTCTATCTGTGTAGGAACCTTAAAATAAATGGTTCTGATATGTGATACATGAACGGATTCTGATCAACTTTCTCTTTATATCAAGATATGTACATTAGTATGTACACATATTGGATGTTCTTATGTTACCAACAACATTATATTTAACCACTGCACCTAAATATTCAAGTTCTATCAATGATTTGTTGTGAAAAAGACTGTTCATCACCAGAGCTTTGTCTGGAAAAATACATCCTATTTGTTCTGCTTTAAACATCAGCAATTTGTTTTGCTTGACATCAGTTTCTAATGAAAATTAATTAACTGCATGTCACCATAACCTTGTACATTTCACATCCTGGACATGCCATATCAGACAGTTAAGAAATTGTAAGTTTCAGCACATTTTGTTGACTAATGAATCTGCTTTGACTGATGAAACAAGTTGAAGCAGAGCGGGTCTATGTAGCATGCATTAGTTTGGTTGTTCTGTGGTAATGTTACAAGCACACGTAGAAGGTAGCAGACTAACATTCAGTTCCTGAAATCTTAGTTAGAAATATTTATAAACAAAATGAAAAATATTCAAATGCTGCTCAGAACGATTCTTAATTCTTGATGAAACTTTGCATACCAATCAGTTTTGTACTAAACTGGTGCCTCTGGATGATTAAATATTCATATTTATTATATATCTTTTTCTTTCGTGACATCAAATTGGACTTCTCTGAAAATAACCGACCTCCATTACAGAATAGCACCAGACTGTTGGGAATATGTCATCTCCTGATGGTCTCGGTCTCAATATGGGGGGGCATGGTCATTCAGTCACAGTATGTCTGACAGCCCCTTAACTATATTATTGTACCTACCACCAGAGGTATCTACTCCCATCCAGACCTTTCTGTAATGCAGACCCGTGAAGGTCCAGGTTAGAATTACCCTTCAGTAACCCATGCTTGTCGTAAGAGGTGACTAACGGGATCGGGTGGTCAGGCTCGCTGATGTCATCAGTTCCCAATTGCGCAGATCAATGCTCATGCTGTTGATCACTGGATTGTCTGGTCCAGACTCGATTATTAACAGACCGCCGCCATATAGCGAGAATATTGCCGAGTGTGGCGTAAAACTAAACTCACTCACTCATTCTATAATTCAACAACTCTGGCTGGTGCAAGATGTTTCTCGAGTTGAGTTTCCTCTGAATTCCCCATCTTAGTGGGGCTCATTTTCAATGAAAATGCTGATGTAGGCATTGTTACCCCAACCCAACTCACTCACTCAGTGTTAAGGTAATACAGTGAAGCCCTCTGTGTCTGTGGTGGGGATGCTGTGTATACAGGGGTCTAGATGTGGGGGAAGGGGTCTCTGACAAGTCATATATCTTTGATGGTGTTATTTGGAAATACTGTTGCCTTGTTTCATGGAAGACTGGCTTGAGTGCAAGATCTGGCACAAGGGAAATTGGCTGATCGACTATTGCAATGGGTTGAGTGGGTTATGTTTCAAGCAGGAATCATTCAAGTTATGTGTATACACAAAACTAATTCTCATTGTTGAAGTTAATTGGTCTTATCAGTGGTGACAGCTCAGCTACTTAGTGACTTTTCACATATCAAAAATGTATCTTGTACGACATATCAGTATTTTATATTTGTTTTTAATTATGAGAAATATAAACAGTCTCAGTATGACATTTGCTAACTTCTTCACACGAAGTGTTAAATTTCAACACAGAAACCAATGCTGCTTTCCTGACAAATGAATAACATTCATTATCTGTATTGTTAGATCTTAGATCTGGTAAAACCTGGAATTATGAATGAGTAAAGAAAGGTGATGTTTTAAATGAAAACATGTAGATTCTAGTTTTGCAGAATAAAAACAACATTTATTGCAGAAGTTGTCACTGAATATAAAACAATCACAAACACAACTAGGGCACTTTCATGACCATCATAAACAATTTTCAACATGTACAATATAATGACTTCATAAAACAACCACATTTCCATGACGACTAGCAAGAGCACACTTCAGCATGTATTTACTTAATGACCGTGTTCTCCAGGGTTCAGTCATATCCAATTCAACCTGCGAGAATAGCTCTCCTTTTAGACCTCCACTTGAGCTAAGCTAACATCAGAGTATTGATGTGTTTAGTACTGTAAGACCTTACTGGTCAGCAGTGTCGGAAGTCGCACCTCAACATGGGACAATCATCTTGGCTCCTAATGAAGAATGGACCAGTGTGACTGTCCTGCCTTGGAGAGGCTTGGCAGTATGTAATGATGGACATTAGCTAATCAATGTGTAGCTTAATTATTATCAAACAATTTTATATAGTCTCTGTTTTGATCTAAATTCACTGTTACATCAAAGCCTATCTATTTTTGAAATTTTTAAACTAGTACAAATTGGTAGATGCAAATACTAGTTTATCAAAAGCAGACTAATATTTCACATGACGCATACATTTTTTTACTTCAGTTTTGAAATCGTTTTGTCATTATCTGAAAAATAAGTTATCCTCATCAATAGATTATATGCATAAATGCTATGCATTGATGGAAGGTGGCCTGTCATTTCACTGAAGTCTTGAGATAAAGAATCATCTTAAGTAAGCTGGGACTTGCTAATAACCCAATAACCATATACCGGTAATCTTGCATAATAACTCACTGGTATTTTCAAAGCTGATCAAACAAATGTCATCACAGTTTGGATAACTGTATATTTATATATCACAAGTGTCAGGGCATTTTTGCTTAGCCCCATGTAAGGACGGAGGTGGTCAACACAGTGTGGTCACTCAAAGTAGACCCCGTAGACCATACCAACTGCGTAGAGGCTGCGGTTCTCAAATTCAGCCGAGGCAAAGTTGTCCCTGTCAGAGTCCCACAGGAAGCGGCTGCCCACTCGAACTCCTTGGTCCTTCTTCTCCCCGATTGTCACCTGAGCAATGATCTTATACCTGCAGTGGTACAGACACAGGGACATTCAGACACCTGGAAAGTGAGACCTGGTGCCTCATGTCAAATATTAAAACAAACAGTAATCTGATGACTTTTTGGATAACTGGAGAAACCAACTTAGTGCTGTCATTTAATCCACAGAGTTTACCATTAAGTAGGTGGTCAAAACAATTTGTCAGTTTGTAAATTATAAAGATCTGAAAAAGTTTCTTTAAAAATTAAGGCTTATACCCTATCTTAACCTACCTCATTTAATGCTGTAATCTGTAAAAGATTTCTCCATTTCGCCTATGTTTTCTCATTTCAAGTAGGTATTACCCATTAATGTCCTCATACCAATTAGGATGATCTAAATTTCACATGAAAACATTCCGAGACCATGCTGATACATTGTCAAATCTAACTGTCAGTATTCAGATATAATATATACATATAAAATATTTGTTGTGACTTCATTATCATTTAGATGATGTATTTGATAAGATGCTCCATTCAGCTTAATGGAGCTGCCCCAAAATCTGTAACATGTTAGCACCACAGCTGTGCTCATGGGTTTTTATCACAGTTAGAAATCTACACCTTGCTTCTTTTTTAGTGTCTTCCTTAGTGTCTTCCTCACCTATCACCACATATATAACTGACACACTGATATAATCAGTGTTAAAGTCACACTCTCTACTACAAATGTTGTAGTGTGCTGTGGGCATGCCACTCCTCTGTGCCAGCTGACTGACTACCCCCTACTCTCCTATGTCACGTGGTATTTGACACTTATTCTGTACCCAGGCCTTGAAGTGTGTAATTAATACATAGATAAATGTTGACAAAAGACACATAGTGAACCAATTCATCATTTCTTACCGTTTGAAATTAAGTTCTTTCACCTTTGCCTTGATGTCATCAGAGAGAAATTTGCACAGCAGCGAGCACTCAATAGGATCATACTTTTTACCTGAAGTGTGAATGAAAATTTGTTTTGAAAACTATTACTGCTGTCACCAATATCTAACTGTCAGTATTCAGATATAATATATACATATAAATATTTTTTGTGACTTCATTATCATTTAGATGATGTATTTGATAGGATGCTCCATTCAGCTTAATGGAGCTGCCCCAAAATCTGTAACATGTTAGCATGTTTGCCTTGATGTCATCAGAGAGAAATTTGCACAGCAGCGAGCACTCAATAGGATCATACTTTTTACCTGAAGTGTTAATGAAAATTTGTTTTGAAAACTATCACTGCTGTCACCAATACCCGAAATAAAAACTCAAGCTTGTAAAACCATTTGCTTTCCAGCTGTGATTTTCCATACCATGAGATAGGGGAGAGATAAAGACTTGTATGCGAGATGTTTCAACTTGAAAGTTAGATACATAGTTCTGGGAGATATTTAGACCTGTAAAATACAAGGTTCTCATCATCAAAGGTTTTGGCATCAAGTAAGGGCCCAGTACAATAGCAGCATTCAATGATGAGTACTTCACTTGTTTAGATGGTGATGGCTTTGAAACTTTGAATGTTTGGGCCTGGATGCAAGCTCTGGATATGTGGATATGCAGGTAAAATGCTTAGACCTGCGAGGAAAATTGTTAGAGAAGATGTTACCTGTTAGGTTAGTGTTGAGCACCGTCTCTATGATAGGCTTGACCTGGTCAGGTCGGAACTTGGAGGGAGGCTCCAGCTGGTATGTGTTCTCATAGCACACCTGAAAGATCTTCACACTATGTAAACACTTTATTGTCTATATATTAAACATGAAATAAAATACATTTCTTAATCTTACTCTTGTTATGACACAATAATAACAGTCAAGTGAAAGAGAACATTGCCACTTTTGTAGACAGTGAGCCACTGTTTCTGTTGAAAGTGCATGTACCTGTCTGTCTGTGTGTGTTATTTTATTCAGCATGAATGAGTGCTGCTCCCTAAAATCATATACAGATTGTTTCACACTCTCATTCAGACAAGAAGTCCATATTTCTTCAGTTTCAGATTGAAACGTAAGAGACTGTCTGGACTCCTTCCTGTAATAAATAAGACAACTTAAAAGAAATGTGAAAACAATTTCAAATAGGAGACTAAATGTTAGTCTTGCAGGATCTCACAATGTTGCACGATCGGAAGGAAAAAAAGACATTCCACACAATGAGTCTCACCCTTCGAGGAGGTCTGGAGTCATCCTGGTTTGGTTCACAGGCAAATGAGGTGATGCTAGATCCTGCATTAGCAAGCCTCTTTCCTGTGAGGTCAAACAGACTGGATCCCCCGGCAGTGACGGCAGTTAAATTGTCCATGATTGGTGTACATACATACCACCTCTCACCCCAGTTGTAGTAGCTGTAACAGAACAGAGTTATATAGATTGTTGTTTAACAGAGCCTGAAAATAAATGAGTCTTGACCAGACAAAATAGTGATTAAAATTATAAACATGTCCCATTCTGTCAGCATCAATCACATCCCAGATAGCATGCAGATTTTGGCCCAACGTTGGCAAGGGTTTTGCCAACATTGCCAACGTTGGGCCAACATCTGAATGCTATCTGGGATGCTATATACCAAGTCATTTGTCCTCTGACTGGATATGTTGAAACATTGGACCTAGAGTTGAATTATGAAAATCTTATAACCCTTGTTATTTCTGTAGGTATTCCTGAGTTAATTTTGGTAAGCGCACACAATAACAGATATGCCAAGGAACTGTAGTTTGTGAAAAAGATTTGTTGAAAGATATTTACATATTCACTATCATCTCTTTAAAATTTCAGCTCTACCAATCACTCTGACAGAGAGAAGAGAGAGGAAGACAGTGAACAATCTCAGTATTGGCTCTCAAAGTCATAAATGAAGTAACATGTAGTAGAGGATTATAGCAAAATCAATAGCTTGTTTTCTGTTTACTGAGGATTGGAGAAATGTTTTATGGAACATTCAACACATGAGCTGAACAGACACCTCCTTTTCTTCAAACATTGAGTCACTTCCAATCAAAACTCATCGGCATTCTATCTTTGACCCAATATGAAGAATATCTACTGCATTAAAAATGAATGCTGAAGTTCCTGTTAGCTCCTCAAAGGGAACATGTGATTCTGAGCAGTGCCTAGGTGCCTAGATATCATGACAAACTTTTGGCCTTTAATATTTATATGCACCTAATTCATTGTGATCTCTCAAAGAAATCTATGAAATACACTGAATTTAGAAAATGGTTAAATGTAACACATGCTATATTTGGCATTACACTTTTGCAGTAAAGTGCAGATACTAGTACTTTTGTTGGGTTGAGACCCATCCGGGTTACGAATGAACCCACACCCTTAGAGTCAGGCACCTAATCGCCAGCACACAAAGTCAGTTGTCTAACCCACTCAGTCACCAAGGCTTTCACAAGAATGGAAGTCGAACAACTGGTAGTCCAGACCAGAGACTTTGTGTTCCCCTCTGATCAGTGTAATGATTTAGAAAGTGGTCAAATGTAACACATGTACTTAACTGAGAAAGTGTGATCACAAATATAACATGTGTTATATTAGGAACCTGACTCTGAGGGTGTGAGTTTGAATCCTGGATGGGACTCAACCCAACAAAAGTAGCAGAATGTGTACTTTACTGAGAAAGTTTATTCCCAAATATAACATGTCTCAAAGATATCATTTAAGATTTGACCAATATATTCCAAACCATTCATAATAACACAAATACCTCAGTGGCAGTGCTGAGGACATTTGGCACTGATGTATATGAGACAACACACAACACAAACACCATTTAAGTTGACAGCAGTCACTTTTTAAAGTTCATGATGAAATATCATCAAAATACAAATGGAGTTGATGTATGATTAAACTTCACATGCTGTCAGTTTTATGTGAATCTTATTACAGTAATATTAAGAACCTTATAATGAACATGTATTTCAAAACTATACTGCATAATACTTTGGTTATTTAATCATATAAAACCCCTCCCTGCCTCTGCCCCTTGCACCTGGACATGTTGCCATGTACTAACTATATAACAAACACATAAAATGGGATGACCTTATCTTAGTTTGTAATGCATATACTTATGTCAAATTAGACATTCAGGGTAGGCAATCTGTTTTAGTTAATCTAACTTTGTTTTTCCTGTTTAAGTTGTCTAATACAAGCAAACCATTAAAACACTTGGTCTTTTATTTTCAAATGCTAGCTGTAAGTAGCTAATCCATCCCAGATCAATAGAGAAATAGATTGTATCTAATGTCTGATAGGTTCATCCATACGTTGCCATGTCTTACAGATGCCTAATTAATCAAGACTCCCCATGTAGGAAGACGCTAGCACGAACCAGCGTTAATTATTCATCTCCTCCACATGCCTACTGAAATAACCTTTCAGGTAGTAGACAAACAGATTGTTCTGTACTTCTCTTGCCACTATTATTGCACAATATAGCACCATCTGTTCATGTTGTACATGGGCAGAAAACAGGAAATGATACCAAATGGTACTGCAAATAAACACTGCACAACAATAAAACTGAGGTTGTCATGAGTATTTGAACCATTGTCATATATTGTAATTGAGAGATATGTTGTTCAATATATGTTTAAATGATGTCAGTTTTACTGTAGAGCTGTAAGTGATTTGAAATTTCTGTAGTGATGTATAGATATGAAGTATGTAAACAGTTTGGGCTTGTGAGCAGCTGATAACTATTTCAATCACATGTTTGTGGTAAGTCATACACATATGCCCATAAAACACTTCTCAATAACTTTCTTTGACAAAATATGAGATACTTAAATATAAGACAGCTTCGTCTAACTTTCACTAATAATTTTGAGACGTAAAGGCTTAAATTAGTATTAGTATTAAATAGTTATTGTTGAGTTGTGTATTGATTCAGCAATCATTAGTTACTGGGTTGTTTTTGTGCAGCACACTATTTTACTATGTACACAACGAAGAGATCATTCATAACAGACGTTATTAAATCACATCATATGAAGCTAAGAATTATGACCACTGTCTTGAAGTATCAACATCAATCTAACCATTTGAAAACATCTTCCTACCACTTCAATACGTCACACTAGGAATTGATACCAAATATTCTTCTTCTTTCTTCCTCTTATCTAACTAGAGTTACAGAAAAATCATATTTACATAACAGTAAACATTGTAAACTTCTTGAAACATCAGTTTTACAATGGTATTTGTATTGTTTATCAACTTCTCTATACCTTACCTTCTAAACATTGTCCAGGTTAGGTTGTAATCCAGATAAAAGAAAGTTAACACACACACAGGAGATGTAATGACACAGGACTTGACGATGAACTCTCCTATATATTATCACACCACAAGTTCCCAGGGAACTTCCTCTATTGCCATGGAAACAGACTACTGATTACCATAGCAACATGCTTCCATCCTCTTGTTTTCAATCAATAGGCATTATAAAACTCATGAGAATCATTGACAATGAAGTCAAACTGCTGCTAGAGTGATTGTGTACTTCAAACTCAAGTAGACAAACTCACTCCTGGTTTCCAACAACATGCAGCCATGTTACAACCAACATCTGGCTTCAATTAAATTGCACACATGCAATTAGAGACACAACCATCAATGATTGATTAGCTTATAGATAATCAAGTGGCGATAGCTATTGTCTATGGGGCGTACCTACAACTGTTTCCCTTACTTATTGATCCCATGAAGACAAAGTAAGCTTTAAGACCCAACGATAGAAGTAATTGTCACTGTAATGATTCACATAACTGAATGTGTGACACAGGTGTGAACATCAAAGCCAGGTAGGGGTATTACTCGCAGGTGAGACAGACGACACAGGTAATTAGTACACGGCAAAACACAAACTAATGGGGCTACTTGCAAACAATAATTCATTTGTTCCTTGTTAATCTACACTAATTGTAGCACATTAGCACGAGAACATTCAAAAACCGCCAAGTCAGAGATCGATAAACTGGTACGGTTGGCAATGGACATGTCATAAACGAAACAAAACAACACAGTTATGGTCATAAACTCAAGAAACAGATCAATTTGCTATTTAAGGTGTGTTGTAAAACTTGATCCACATTTGATAACACTTAAAAGTAGCTTTCTTGAAACATGTTTGTTCAGCAAAACATATCTGACCAACTAGGCATGATCTCTATTTCACAGCATTATACAAAATTAAATCATACCTTTCTTGATACAGGACAAGATTAGTAATATCCTAATTGTATGAAGACTGAGAAGGGGTATCCAAGAGCACGTATTGCATGTCTTTTCCCTTCATGTCAAACCTGAACTATGGAAAAAGTTCTGCAAAGGCTTGGATTAAGAGAATGTAGTTTTGTGATGAATAGATTTTGAGATTAGAATGAAAGGTCTTGCTCATGATTTTTTCACCACTTAGCTTAGAATGTGTCAGTGGTGTGGGAGAAAAGTGTGAAGGGGGGATGCTAAATTAACCAACACTTCTATTATTCATAAACTGACACTACTACAAACCATCTGAAATAGAAAATTGAAAAAAACCACATTATGTATTCTGTTTTATTCACACATGGCTTTGAATCTGCTTTACAAAATCACAAATATTATTTTTATTGATACTAAGAATATTGCACTTTTTAGTAAAAATAACATTCTTTTTAGTAGGTGTTTACCTGACTGTACAGTAAGATGTGATCACCTCTTTAGAAAGAAGGGGTGAAGTAGGAACTATTTAGATGAGTTTTAACTCATCATTTCTTTGGAAAAGTTTGCTTTATAATGACATCTTCCCCCTAAACTTACATTAGTTACATGGTATCTGTGGATACAGGGTAGAGCTACAAGCCAATCAATTATGTGTTTAATTAGACTGGAAACAATACTAGTAGATAAGGAATCTATGGGTGTGATACTGCCCCAGGAGAATATGAAAACGCATTCCATGTGACAGTTTTAGCAGTCACTTATTAAATATGTATAGATCTTGTTATCAGAGTAATGCTACAAGCAATCCTCTCATGATTGATTATAATCAATAACTCAACATCCTTGATTAAATGCTGCAAAAATATATACTCTAATCAAATGTTATTTCAAATTTTCAACCCTTCATTAACTCCATAAATATGCATGATAGTATACATAAAACATCCCAAATTAAACAAAATATTAAACTGACCCCTGAAAACAGGGCTGAAGCATACCTTTGCATTGTTACTGTGTGTTGAATATCCTGTACATCCAGTGCAAACAGAAACTCCTGTGATATTATTACTCTCCCTTGATGAAACCCTGGTCTCCCAAGGTAGACATTGTGTCCCTGAAGGTTAATGTTATCACTGTGACCTGACCCTTCAACTCATACTGTCTTTTTCAGGAAATAAGATGATAAAGCTCACAGGGGGGTAAAGATATCTTGCAACATGTCCCAGTTACATTTGTATTACAGACTTGAGTCATATTTTATCTTCTCTATGAGCTATATTTCTCTAGGTTTGGTAATTGTAGAGAAAAGATTCCATTTCCCATCAATATGTTAAAATAGAATATTCATTTCACTAATGCACTTTTGCAGAACACATTGAAAATGCCATTATGTTCCACTTATAGTCAAGAGACAACTAGAGATAAGATTTTTAACTTCAACCTCTCAAACTCGGACAGTTTTAGCACTGATGTCAACAATGATCTGTTTCTGATTTGGTAAAATTATAACTGTTCTTTGTACCACTGTAAAGGATTTGTAAATGGTTAATGTTAATAACAACTACCCCTAAACGGTTCCAGTAAACGATTATCACAGTAGATTTTTCCAATCCTATTTCATACATTTTTTCTCCAGGTTGAAATTATATTGGATCAAATCTGCGTAATTCCGTACCTAAACACCAACATGTACCCCCCAAAAAGCAAAGGCAAAATTGACAGATACAGGGATAAAATAAAGATTCGAACGTTCTAACAGTGTGTGTCAAAAGCAGTAAGATGCTAGCCTGAAATAATTTCTTTCAGGTTGCAAGACAGAAATTAGATGTTGATGTTTCTTGACCCTAACAAGGGGCAAAATAATGTCAAAGCAGTTTGTATTCCATTTGTGCCCGTTCTAAGAGCGCCCTATTATCATGAAAATGTGTGACATTGTCACAGTACCGTGTACATAAAAATAGTAATCATTTATGGTCGAAAGTTAAAAAAAGGGGCACCGTGTTTCAATGTTAAAAGTTCCAGGCTAGTTCAAGGAATGGATGCATAATTATATACAATTCTGAAAGACATGTTTTTGAAGAGAATAATTCAAACATCGCTTCTGGAAAAACAACAACCTAATGACGACAATAAAGAACTGTTTCCTACACAGTTGAAGAGGTTCACATAGAATGCAAAACTCCAAAGCAACGTTTTGGACCTCGTAAATTGCAGACATGTTTCAATTTTTAGATACGTTGTATGTGAAAACAGTAATATATTTGCATATGCACTTACCTTTGTTATATATGCCGTCTGTTCACTTGAAGCGTTATTTTGAAGACGTTGACCTCGTGAATTATCTCCCTTGTAAGCGTTTCAAGCTCCTTACAGTGGTAAAGGCAGTGTGATGAGCTTCAGTGTTTCATTTGCGGGTCTATTTATCACCAGCAGCTGCTGTTATCGTATCACTTATACATCTTCATATCGTATGCCGTATGTATATAATGATATTTCAATGCACTTTTTTCGCTCTTTGGTACTGAAATAGAATTATTCTTCCATCCCACCTGAGTTCAGTGATAGGATACATCCACGCAGTCAAATGATAGTAATCGCCACGTGCACATTTCAAAAGTTATCGGATGTTTTTGGAATGTTGGAATTTTCTCCCTCAGGAAAGATAACATTTTTGTAAACTCGATGTTAATGACATTTCCGTGGTACGCCTTTTGCAGGAACATAGTTGACGTCTTAAGTCACAACCGCCGGTACACGGGTCCCGACTTTGACCGAACACTGCTTAACGAAGTTGTAGCAACACTAAAGTGTAATTCAGCTTCATGGTGCTCAACAATTTTCTCCGCTTTCTCAGTTAAGGATCCAAACATGTTTGTTCCAAAAACAGATGAAAGTAGGGTATGGGCGCCAATGTGGTCTCCAATCGATACCACGTAAAGGTATACCCACTAAATAAGTCATTATAGTAATTGTATTTTGGAGCAAGTGATATTATTAAATGAATAAGTGATATAACTAATTAAATACCGATTAAAGTCTATTTCCACCCCGCAAAGAAACGTACGAGGGAGGTCCACCATCAAGTATGCAGGGACCACACGGGGCGGGGTCCACAAAGCGGTGATGATGTTCATTAAGACAGTCATAGCTGTTTGGAAGCCAAAGCTTTTTGTAACGGGTCGACCCTTTCTCCCCTATAATGCCCATATCATTCTAACAGTGTGTAGAACAAACCCTCTGACTACATCTAACCCCTATTTTCACACCTGTTGTCACTTTGTGTAATTCGTACGATGCTTGATATGCACAGCCTTTAAATTTGTTATTGTTATTGTTATTGTTATTGAGATCTCAGGCATTTGTTCAGAGTTTGAGTTTACTGTGGGTTAGATTTATAATTTTGCAATTGTTTTGTGATGTAATAAAGAAGGTGTCAATGTACAAAAGTGATATCGGTGCGTATATCACGATAATACTGTACTTCCATAGACTACCAGTCAGATTTTGATTGTTTGTTGTGTTATGCCGCTCTCGGCTATATTCCAGCTATACAGCGGCGGTCTGTAAGCAATCGAGCCTTGAACAGACAAGCCATTGATCAACAGTATGAGCGTTCTATCTACTGTTGGGAGACAATGTCAAGTTAGTCGCCTCTTACGACAAGCATGGGTTGCTGAGGACCAATTCTAACCCGGATCTCCACCAGTCTACCAGTCAGAGAGGTATAAGATATGTATTGGTCAATAAGTGTGCGGGCCAGGCAAGTATGTTGGTCAACCAAGTGTATTCACTGTGTGTAAGGGGTATATGTGTGCAAAATTAAAATGCTACCGGAAAAAGGACTCATAATTATAAATTGGTGTGAATGCTATGCTGCTGAAAGTCACAACATAATAGTTCGTCATTGTTCTGATAAATTATCACCACAAATTCATGGACAAAACTCACACCTGGTAACAGGATACAATGACAGATTCTGGTCCTGTCGTACGTGGGACCATATCATCCCATGACATGTTCTTTGAGGAAGGTACCAGGGGCGTAACTAGGAAAATGTAAGTGGTAAGCATAGCTTAAGGTTTTGATGGACGATTACCGCAAACTGACTAAAACAAACGAGCAGGTTCTAACAAACATTATCTGGAATAATAATAACGCAGTGAAACAATTTGTAACTATTTCAAACACCATAAGACCCATAAAGTACACGTACAATAAACCACAAAACAATAAAACCGGAGCTGTCAGAAATACATGAACGTTGTAAAGGGAACAAGAACAAGAAGAGCTAAAAATCAACTATGAAATTGTTTGAAACAGTCAGGAGTGAGTGAGTTTGGTTTTACGCCGCTTTTAGCAATATTACAG